CACAGCCAGCCTCGCCGTCACCAGGAGCTCGGTGGCCCTGTCCCCGCAGCTGGAGGGGCCCCCGCGTGGGTGTCTGTGGCCCCGGGGGCGGCTCTCGGGAGGCGAGACGCCTCCTGTGAGTGGAGCTCGCTCGCTCGCTGATTCCAGCCGCCGTGTCAGAGGCAGCTGCCCCAGCTTCAGGGCTGACAGGGAGGGCCCAGCGGGCACAGGGCATCACGCACGCGGGGGCGCGCTGACCCGACAGCATCCTCCCGCTTAGCCCTCTGACTGTTCTGTGGCGGAGCAGAGACCTGTACTCACTTATCGAGGTAGCGACTGTCTGGGATTTCTGGAGCACTAGGTGGGGCCGCTTTCCCTTCTGGAGTGTCTGGAGAAATGAAGAAGAAGGCAATTTAAATAACTTTTTGTAGAAAACAATTTTCAAAGCTTCACTAAGCAGGCTGTGAGGTATAAAGGGACGCCGGGCAGCACGTTTGACACGCAGCCCTGCAGCGGCCGAGCGCGGCCGGCCTCCCGCACCCGTCTGCTGAACGAATGAAAGCGGTTTCCACCCAAAGGCCCCTGGCGTGCCCACCACGTACCCGGATCCTGCGCCTTGGCAGCTTCACTTTCTTTCTCCTAAGACACAAGAACAGAGAGGTCAGGGACAGCGGGCCGCGGTGAGCAGGTCTCTCCACGATCCGTGTCCTTAGGTTTTGTTGGAGAACTTATACCAGGAAACAACACAGCCCTTTGAAAGAGTCGTCCACATCAAACGTCGGCCGCCCCCTCTGTCCTGCTCTCCCCTGGCCCCACCACGGGGCTCTGGTCTCCCGACTCCATGGAAATGCTCTGCAAGGCCACGTACGCGTCCTCCAGGTCACCCGCCCATGGGACATCTCCATGGGCTCCCAGCAGCCATGACCCCACCTCGCCTCTCCTCTGGTCCCTTAGCTGGGCTCCAGGGTGCAGCCCCCTCCCCTGGTGCACCCTGTACTCAGTCCCCCACCCCCCGCCTGTCTGTACAGACCCTGCCGGAGCTCTCACCCAGTTCCTCAGTTGACACCCATCTCTGCGCCGATGACACAGACGTCTCAGCTGTCACCCCAGCCCTCAGTGCCACCCAGCACGTACTTGGGTGTGGAACGTCACCTAAACTCCACTTAACCAGACTACCCTCCCGCGTCCCTCCGCGCCCCCTCACAGCCTGCTCTGGGGGTCACGGCCCCTTCGGTGGCCCAGCTACTCAGGCTGCAACTTGGGGAGATTGGGACGTCTCTCTCCCTCTCCTGGGCTAGCCTGTCCGGACCCTCCCAACCCCACAGGGTCCACTTCGGAACACATGCCGCGTCCAGGCACTTCACCCAGCCTCCGCTTCCCACGCCCTCCTCCGCCCCAAATCCTAGGGCCAGGTGACCCCGTTACTGCCTCTGGAAGGTGATTAGTTCAAGACCCTCGACGGCTTTCTAAGTCACCCTCGCGAGTGGTCTCCACTGTCCCCGGCGCTCGCCAAGGACAGAGGGTCTGGGGCTGAGCCTGACGGTCCGGCTGAACCACCTGCTGGGTGCTCTACTCAGTTCCCCCATTTGTACCATAAGGGGAAGGAGACTCACCCACCTGAGGTGAGAGCCCGCTGGGACAGGGGCCCAGTGGGCGCTGGACACTGTCCCCACGCAGCCCATGGGCCCCTTGCCTCCCCTCTTCCATTCCCACTCCTTTAAAGTCACTGACCCGCAGCGTTCAGTGGAAACGTCACTGTCACTTCAACACGTACTCAGCACATTTCTCTTTTCTCCGCTCTTATCCATTCACTCCTTTCTAACAAGTGGTGGTCAGAGCTCTTCCCACGAGCCTGCCCCAGACACCGCTCAGTGTGGCGGCCCGACTCGCTCGTGCACGACCGAGCTTCTGCCCCCTCCTAACTGTCGACTTAAGGAGCTGAGTCACAGAAGTTAGTGTGATGAGGCCAGTCTACCCTAGAAGCAGGGAAGCTGAGCAGGGACACGTGTGCACTCGAGCACACGCCATCGGACCCCCCACGGACTAGGACCCAGGGCTTCCGGAGGGGGAACGTTTGTCCAAAGCCTGCTTTTCACTGCAGGGAAGTCAGACCCTCGTGTTCAAGCTTCCTTTCTCCTTGGCCTCTGAAGGGGGCGGGGAGCTTCCGGGAGGAAACCTGCCATTGCCCTGCACCCCGCGCCCCGGGCTCCTGCCCTCCAGTCCCCAGGTCCCTCTCTCAGCAGTGACGGCCACTCCCCTCGCCCCCCAGACCCCAGGGGATGAGGGGCCGTGCACGATGAGTTACTAGAGGGTTCCCTGTATTCACCCCCAAACTAATCCAACAAGCAAGAGAGAGTGAAGACAGCCCTCGTGCGCCCACGGAGAGCACACCGACACGCGGGGTCGCCCTGACCTGGCCGGCCCGGGCCTGCGCCTGGGCCTGCAGCTCCCTCGGCGCCGCCGCCTGGCCCTGCAGGGCTGTCATCTCCTCCTTCTTCCGCTTTTCCGCTTCTCCTGTGGCCACTCTCTTCTGCGCCTGGTACAGAATTATTTTTCTGTTATAGCTGATTTATTCCTAGGGTGGTCTTAGGAGTCAAGAGACAAGTCGCAGCGCGTCAGTCATGTTTCTCACACGTTGTTACTGTCACTGAGACGAACGGCAGAACAGGCCTCACTCACGGACGCTCGCTGTTGCCGGACCCGCAGGTGCCCCCGCAGCCACAGCGCTCCTGCTCGCGGGCAGAAGTGGGCGCCGGCGTGGGCGCTGCGGGGGGTGTGTTCCCGGACACGCGGCGCCTCCCGTCGGGTCGGTTCCCTCATGCGCAAGTCACTTCTTACGTGCGGGATCGGAGCAAACTCTGTGAAGGTGAACTTACCCTAATTTCCGCATCTGTGGGTCGGCCATCGATTTTCGCAAATCCCTCAAAAATGGTTTTATAGAGAACGTTCTTGCGGGTGGCGCTGTCAGGCGGGGGCAGGTGCTCCAGAACCGCGGCCCGGTGCTGCGCGTACAGGCCCAGGATCAGACGCACCGCCGCCTCGCGGACCTCGGGGACTCTGTGCTCCAAGGCACGTGCTGAAAACTGAGCATAAGGGTGGGGGCCCTTGTTGTCACTGACCCTTAAGATGGCGTGTTTATTTTTCCAGCATGAAAGAAACAAGGGTACACGATCAACATCTGAAAAATAAAGCGGCGCCCACAGAGTTGCGGCCATAAAGATACAGTCCTTCCCACCTTCTTTCTTTACACGCGCAGGTGAGTTCGTGTTGTAGGCACAACTCAGAGTCTTGCTTTTTCTGCTTCAAGCATTAACTACCACTTCCAAAGCTAAATCCTCCCACAAACTTCATATTAAATGCCACCCAACGTTTCAACCACAGAGGAGCGGGAACCAGCAGACTTCACTCTCCGCCACCCACAGTACCCGGCGTCACCAGGTGGCCACGTTTGCTTCAGACCTGTTTAAAAGTCAGAGCACAGACGCCTGTGCGGGGCCCTGCGGTCCCCCCGGCCCACTGTCTCCTCCTCCTCGGGGGCCTGCACCCGCCAGATGTCCTCACTGGCTGCCACGCGTGCACATGGGTGTGCGCAGGGTGCGTGTACGCACGCAGACGTTCTGTTCTATCTGACAGATGGCCCACTGTGCTATGGTCCTGACACGGCCTCTGACTCAGCCTTCTTTTTTTGAGATCTGCACACGGACAAGATTCATTTCATCCGTTCTTCCTGCTTCAAGTACTTTGGTGTCACGCGGACCTATCAACGCACCGCCAGCTCCTCTTGCGGTAAATCCACGACCTGGGGGGTCCTCCCTGGGTCAGCCTTACGCACTGGCTTCCTCACTGCCCACGTCATCACCTGCCACATGCACTCAGCTCCTACCCCGGACCCTGTCACCCTAACCACTGCCCACCTCCAGGGGCTCCGATCTAAGGATCCACGCCCTCTCCTCCGATGATCACACCTCCCTTTCCAGCTCGCTAGTCTGCAGCCCCTCCTCCCCGCACGCCTGTCACTGAGTCCCTCCGGCACGGCACACATGCCCACCCTCAAGTCTGGGCCCTCCCTCCTTCCCTGTGATCACCAGCAAAGCAGAGCATGACTGCAGAGCCGGGGGTCGTGCTGGCAGGTTTCACACTGGACTCGCAGCCGCAGCCACCCTAGGGGTCCTGGCGTCGTGTGGTGAACTGACCTGTAATGTTTCCTGGGCCTTTTCCCTTCTCAGACGCCCAGGGCAGTGTCCCCCACTTCCTTCTCGCCTCTCAAGCCCCCACCATCCTCTCGTGGCTTAGAGCTGACCTCCTCTCATTAAGGGGAGGGCTGGTCCCTGCTCTGCTCTGAGCTGGCCCCTCCGAGTGTGCTCAGAGCCCAATCTGCCAGCTACAGGGGGTGCTTTGTTCCTGCTGTCAAACCCTCACCCCCCTCCCACTCCGATTCGTCTCCTTTTCCCTCCGTCTGGTTGCATGGCGCTGCACTCAAGTGGACCAGCACAGGGCCGCGTGCCCCACAGTCCAGCCCCTCGTCTTCCTCCCAGCCCCTGCGGTGAGGAGGGCCACCACGGTCAACAGAAATGTGGCGGGAATGGCCACTCACAACCCTGGTCACTTTCCTCTCCTCAGGGACCTGGGCGGTCACGTAGGGAGCTGCAACATCACACGTGGGGGAGGCCGAGCCCCTGAAGGCCCGCGCAGAGCAGAGCAGCCGACGGCTCTGGCCGCGACAAGGCTGAGCTGCCACCGAAGGGCTCGTGTCTGTCACTGTGGCTCAGAGGACTGGAGCCGAGGCTCCTGTCGGGACCCTGACGTGGGCTGTGAACACGGGCGGGCTCTGGTCTCTGGTGGGGAACCGGAAAACCGAACGTGGAGGCCGGGAAAACGGCGATCCACATCACACAGGGCAAACAGCTGACACTGGGTCACACAGAGAAGGTGGGCCAGGGCTACTGCGCTGGTGGTGAGACAGACGAACGGGCATAATCAGGGGACTGGTGTATCTGGGGAGGATTGGCCGCCTTTGGCGTTTTCACAGCAGAACAAGTCCAGCTCCGGAGAGAACTGGCAGTCTGCGGCCAGAGTGAGCGAGGTGGGAGGCCAAGCCAGAGAGCGTGTGGCTCGACCTCATGTTAACAGGCGCTCTCCGAGAGCTGGCTGGGAACGGACTGAGGGCCCAGAGGGACGTGGAAGCCACCGAGGAGTCTGTGACAACCAGCAGGAAGAGACACAGTGGTGGCTGGTCAGGTTCTGGAAACATATTAAGGAAGAGCCACGGCACTTGTTGATGGAGGTCTGAGACAAAGGGAGGGGTTGGAGTGGACCCCAACGTCTGTGTCCTGGGCATACCTCCTGCAGCCGGATGGAGGGGCAGGAGTCCGCTGAGCGGGCAGCGGGAGAGGAGTCCCAGCCGCTCAGGGAGGGGACAGGCCAAGGCCGCAGGTCGGGAGCCCTCGTAAAGCGGCGGTGCGGCGTGGACGGGACCTCATGGGGACGTGTGTACAGAAAAGAGCAGCCAGGGCCCAGACGCTCACATTGGAGCTGGGAAGTGGAGCGGAGCCACCGAGGGGCTGAGACGGCGAGGCTGGCGCTGCAGGAGACAGGCCTGGGGCCCTGGGAGCCGAGTGGAGAAGGTGCTTCTGGAGGCTTATTTATCCCAGTGTCTACGAGTGAAACAGGCCAGTACTAACAGGCCCCGTGTGCTCCTGCCAACTGAGTCATGTCAGGTCCAAGTCCGGGCTCTGAGTCCGTGCACACGTGGATCAGCTGCACAGCTGCCTCCTCCCCGGCCACTGGCGGGAACGGGCGCGGGGCTGACGCAGGGCCGGCGGGAACTGACATGGCGGGACCCTCTCATCCGTGTGGCCCGGGGCCGCACGCTCAGAGCTGTGCTGGCAACGTCTGGAGTCAGGACTAGGGGACCTCTGATTTGACAGGAAATTTCTCCCCTACACCTTCTGAGGCCCGTTAGGTCGTCAAAGTGCAAAACCTGCGTCTCCTCCTGCAGACCTGACACGCGCTGTGATGCGCTGTCTGAGCTGCACAACCTGCTCCCGTTGGGACAGGGCTCGGCACGCACCCCGCCCCAGTGTGCGCAGCGCCGGCAGTGGGGGGACCCCAGCGAGCCCTCAGAGGAACCGGCGTGTCCCTGAGGCCACCCGCCCGCCTGGCCCAGGCCCCGGCTCGGGGCGCTCACCTTCATCACGCTGTCCACGGTGAAGCCCGCGCCCTCTGCGCCCAGGTCCCTCAGCAGCCGGGCCAGCAGGGCCGTCTGACTGATCGCCAGGTGCGTGGAAGAGCCGGCTTTTAACGGCTGGACCAAGTAAGCTGGGATAATCTGGAGAGACCTGACCTCCTTACACAGGGCCATTTCCTGCAAAACCAACAGAATTTGTTCACTTTCACTGGAGGAAGCTGAGGCAGCTCAGTGCAATTCAGTGTGCGCTCAAAGCAAACAAGGAAGGAAACAACAGGGACTAAGCAGGGACAGTGACAAATGGCAGTAAAGCCATTGGTTTCTAAGCTCCTGTTTCTATTTAAGACATAATAACAACTAGAAACAAAAACCTGCATGACCTGGAGATGAATGAAAGCTTCATAGAAAACGTGATTGAAAACTTAAGATCTCTCTTCTCAGGATTTTCCCAGCCTCAAGAAGAAGAGTTTCTGATTTCTAAAGCCCGGAGAGAAGTCAGCTCTGCCGTGAGAACCGCCATCCTGGCGGTCAGGGAGCGCGGGCCCGAGTCCGACGGGGCCGCCGCTCGGGCTGCCAGGAGTGCTGGGGGTGGGTGAGGGGCGCAGGTACCAGCCCAGTTTTCACATCTCCAAACATGAAACATGTCTCTTTCTATGGTTAAGTCCTTTATCATTTAACTACCCAGACACAGAAAAAGAAAAAACTGCTAAAATGTTAAAGAAAAAGACTGGAAACATGATGAAACGCGGATAAAATGAGCTGTGGCACAGGAAGCAGTCCGCTTCAACGGGGCTGCAGGCCACACCGGCCGCGGTGCCCTCCTGCCTGGCGGCACAGTGAGCTCTCTCTCGGAGCCTGAGAGCGGCTCTGAACCACAGTGAGAGGGGAGGCGGGAGAGCGTCCCTCAGAGCAGTGCGAGCGGTAAACTCCCCGCGGCGCAGGCAGGCAGGCAGGCACGCGCCGCAGACACGGGGCCTCGGAGTCGGCCGAGGGGAGGCTGGTGCAGGACAAGCATGGACGCTCACGCAGGCGACCCTCAGCCCCACCGATGTCTCAGAGATTCATGGGGCTCAAAAGTGATGAGACGAAGCCACGCCGTGTCCCACGAGCACCCCAAGCGGTGCTACGTGCGCGTCCTCCCTGAAGACTTACACCCA